GATGGATGGATGGATGGATGGATGGATGGATGGATGGATGGATGGATAGATAGATAGATAGATAGATGGATAGATAGATAGATAGATAGATAGATAGATGGATAGATGGATAGATGGATAGATGGATAGATGGATAGATAGATAGATAGATGGATAGATAGATAGCTGCTACATAGAGAGGCTACATGAAGGCGAGTTAGTATGAACGCAAACAAAAACTCCATTAATAGCATATCTAATCTTTTTTGTTTTTTTTAGCAGATGCTTTTACCCAAAGCGACTTACAAATAGAGGTGTTTTTTTATACTTGTATACACCATCGTACCAAATGGGGTATAGAAGTATTAAATGAAGCTTAGATTTTAAGCTTTGATATGAATGTGAATTTGGGTTAAATCATGATCTCATGAAGAGTTCTTAGGTCTGTTGGTGGAGCAGCAGAGTCTTTTCCACAGATTGGTCAAAAACAGCAGCAGTTATTTATTTATTTTTATTGACAGATTTTAATGAACCTAAGTCTCCTCAAAGTTTCCGAAAAAGTATTTTGGCACACCAGCCAACTGATTAACATACAAACTGTTCTTGTTTTTTTCAGTATAAAGGCAAATTTCCTCTTACATGAATATACCCTCGTGCTACTTATATAAAACGGTTTGGGGTTGATCTTCCTAAATTTACAGTACTAGTGAAGAATTACCATGGACACTGATTTGTGCCCCTAGGTTCCCTGGATTCTACAGAGGTGACCTACTCCACCAAGGCCCAAGCAGGAAGACCCTCCCTGCAGGAAACTCCGCCCTCTTCTTCAAAGAGATTACCAGGTAGGATGGCCCATATCTGTTACTTAGCAAACCTCAAATAGCAGTTTGTTGTCAAACTACATCCAGGTCCATAAATATTGGGACATTGTCATAGCGCTCATATTTTTGGCTACTATGAATTTGAAATTAAATGAACAACAGGTGCTTTGACTGCAGACTCTCATCTTTAAACTGAAGGTATTTACAACCAAATCAGGTGAAATGATCAGAAACGTTACCAATATGTATACGAGCCGCCCGCTTTTTAAGGGACCAGAAGTAATTGGACGACTGGGCGTCACAAGGCCCATGGTCAGATGTGTACTATTCCCTGAAAGATCAAGAGTTCACTTCAATTGTCGAGGGGATTTTTGGAATCCGTCGACTTTTTTTAGTTCGACATCCAAAAAGTTGTCACTGTTCGTGAAACGAGCTGAAAAATCCCATCAGAGACTTTTAAAAAACCTTGCTTAGGAACACTCTTGAAAAGAAAGAACACGCCAGTGATCTCAGCAACAGCAAAAGAGCTGGAAAAAATGACAAAATTCTTTCCCTGATGGAGAAAGAAATCCTTTTCACAACAGCCGGCCTTGTGTGTGAGAAGCTTCACCTGCGTAAATACAGATTTTCCACCCCAAAAAAACAAAAAACCTTTACAGTTGTGGAAAAACATCCTATAAACAGATGAGACAAAGATCAATTTCTACCAAGTGAAAGGAATAAAGGAATATGTAGAATGAGCGAAGCATGGTGGTGGTAGTGTCACGGTGCGGGCATGTATGGCCGCCAGTGGAAATAATTCCCTCCTATTAGTATTTAAGCTGCTTGTACTTAGCCAAATGCTCAGAACTCATTGGACGGGGTGTTTTTTTTTTTTTACCCCCGGTCATTAAAAGCGAAAGCAACAAAGAGGGTTTTTTTTGTTTGTTTGTTTTTAGGCAAAAGAAGTCAATCAGCTTTATTTTCAATTCTGTAATAAAAACTCGACACATTCAGAGTAAACATTTTGTACTCTCATGCTCCCAGACAACACAGCAAAAAGAGAAATACATGTCTTAATATAAGATAAGTTAAGAACATAAGTAGAAACTGTAAAATATAGACACACGTGCAAAAACAGTAAATTACCGTATTTTTCAGGCTATAAGTCTCACTTTTTTTAACATGTTTTGTTCGGGGGTGCGACCTATACTCCAGAGCGACTTATAAATAAAAAATATACCTCTAAATTCTCAATTAATTCATCATAATAAAACAATTTTACATGACCGAGTTGTTTTATAGTGGCCAGCGGAAGCGGATATACAATGCATGATGGGAACTGTAGTACGATAAATACATTATCATCTTAACTTTTTATGTTCAGTCAACATACCTGTATGTTCATGCGACTCATAGTCCAGTGTGACTTTTTTATGGTTTGTTTTTCTTTATAATGGATATAGAGCTGGTACGGGTTATACTCTTTTTACTCAGAAAAATACGGTAAGTATAAATATAAAAGAAATAACAGATTGTTGATGCTGTGTAATGTAAAACAAAATGGAGCCGTTTGTAGCAATAGCTTATATCTGGTTTTTAAAAAAAAGTGGGAATCACACATAAAAAAATGTTTTGTACATCGTTTCTGGACTGTTCACCGAAATATCTTGAAATCAGAGGTGACGATTCTGCAGTTTAAGCACATTTTGATGTTTAATTCTGAATTCATGCGGTGGTGTTCAGAGCCCCCCCAAAAAAATAGTATGGTTCTGATTGTGTGTCCACTTTAAAATTTCACCATTCTGTTCTATTAGCTTTTTCTTGAGAAGAGACAGAAGAAGAGTGCCGATTTTCCTCTTAAGCTCTCATTGATTTTCAGATTTCTTTTTCTTTTTTTTTCCATTTATTTATTTAAATAAATAAATGGAAACATGATTGACCGTTCAGGGGGTGTGAAATGTCAACTTTTGTTCTTACAATCCTTCATCTTTTAAATCGCTTGTCCTTTAAAAAGCTATTTGACTTGTGTTCCACAGAGCTATAGTTTCTGATTGGTCTTATCTCCCTACATTTTTGTGTCTGGAGAGCTCAGATAGACAGATCACAGCAGCTGTAAACACCAGTTTAGTTGTTTTTCCAGACAAAAACTTCTCTGAGAAGGTTTTAGGGAGCAGAAGCGTGTTGTGATCCGGTCCCTCCCCCCCGTCCCCCCGGCCACAGGTCAGAGGCTGTTCCGCCGGCCGGGGGCCAGCTCCGACTCCCTGAGCGAGACCAGCTCCGTCGGCCCGCCCGAGGACGCCGCCGCCACGCCGGGGGCCGGGACCCCCCCGCCCGCCTCCCCAACCACAAACGCCGGCACGCCAGAGGGGAACCCCGCCCCCTCGGAGCAGGAAGCAGAGGAGGAAGAGGAAGAGGAGGAAGAGGAGGAGGAGAGGCAGCCCGAAGGACAAGAGGCCGGGAGATAGAGAAGCTCCAGCTCAGGTATCCTCCGTCCGTCCCGTAAACAGACACCTCCCCCAGAATCCCCCCCCTTCCTCCCCCTTCCTCCCCCCTCTTCATGAGAAAGGCTGATGGCTCGGGTTTGTCCTGCTGCTTCAGGATGTCAAATTATTGGGAAAAATCCCCCCCCCCACACCTTCTCATCGCTGTGAACCTCGGTGCGTTGCTACTTACTGGTGATAAGACTTTTAATAAGACAGTCTTCCTCCTCCCACCCCCACACCAGTACAACAAACAGGATTATTAGGATGATTAGTCCAACACGACCTAACGGGTGCCTTTAAGTCTGCGTTCCATTGCTAAATGTCTGCTGTGTGTCGGATCACAGTCACCGTCAATGAAAAGAAGAGCTCACATTAAATTACACAGGGGATCGCTGACACTCTAAAAATGTTATTCTGAAGTTTTAAATGGAGTGGAATCGTTTCCAGAGACTAATGTGTAAATAAGCGCCTAAAAAGTGATGATTTCTGGAATCAAATAGCCGCATCATAAGAGATTTTAGATGACAAAATATGAGTTTGAGTATGCAAAATCCAGAAAATAACGCTCTTTATTCATAATCCATAACCCTTAAGTTTTCTTTTCTTTCTTTTTTGTTAACAAAACCTCATGAATTTAATTCCTGCCATTTTGAAAGAAAAAACTTTATACTTTGTATGATTTTCATTGTAGTCTGTCTGAACGGTGAGATAAACATTATTCTTTTAGAAGATGAGACGAATGCTCTAAAAGACAAGCCAAAGCCACCGGGTTATCATTTATCTGTTAAATAGAGACTATTGTACAGGTAATACCTTCACAAAGAGTATTGTATATTTAGCTTTGAGCTTTAGCAACGTTTTCTCCAAAAGATCTAAAGTTCTAAGAATGTTATAACTGTCTCCATTATTAGAATTGATAGATAAAAATATGATCAACTTTATGGAAATTCAGTAGTACAAGGACTTGGGTCTTAAAATGATTTATTTGACTTCATTTAAAGATCAAATGTGAAAACAGTGGCCCTAATACTACATATTACAGATCAGAATGGAACCCCCCTTACAGTCAGACATAGCTGGGTTTGTTTATTTGTTATCTGAGTGTCTTATTTATTTAATTGACTTTAATGAATTATTGTGTAAGGGTTATTTCTTCAGTTTTTGTTGTTGAACTCAGTTGAGAGAACTGTTTTGCGAGGCCAAATAGGTGACGGGGTATGGGGTTTAATTCATTTTTTCTTTGTTTTTTCAACACTTCTGGAAAGCCGAGAGTTCTTCCCACTCAGCTTATACACTTTATTAAGTGTTTAAGACAAGTTTGTCTTTTCCAGGACAACATTTTTATTTTATTTTATTTTTGGTGTATACGTGGCTACCGCAACAAATGCGATTGGAAAATATTCTAAATATTCTAAGACTAAAGCAGGTGGGGATCTGAGGCCTAATAGGGACACATTACGTAAGATAATATACTAACAAGGCTGAAAAGCCAACATTTATCAGAAGTCACCATCTTTTCTGATCTTTTCCCCTTGGTCCCTTAAAAAAAGAAATCATTTGGAGGGGAACACGTGCAGATTTTTGTCTGACTTGTCTTTTTTTAATTTATTTTTTTCATTTGGAGTCAAAAGTTCGTGAAATAATTGTTGCACAACTGTAAAGACGTGGGTCAAGATGAAACCCAGCGAGAATGAAGATGACATCCGAGCTGCACGCGTTCTGCAGACGCTAACTCTACTACTGTGTTGTTTACTACTGTATCTCATGCCTCTGTGGTGTAAATGAAGCAGAAGATTCTGGATGGTTAATCCTGTTACGCGATTCTGATAAAATAAATACATTTTTCCTTTTTTTTAACCTTATGACATTTGTTGGGTTGGTGGGGTTGAATGAGGGAGTCTTTTGTTTGGTGTAAGTTTTTTTTTCTCGGCTAGCTTAAAGGAAAGGAAACCTCCATGAAAACACATTTTCTATTCCGTTCATTATCGTTATTCTATTGTTCAGGTCAAATCTGTGTTTGTGCCTGTTCTCGATTGTCTGTCCTTTGCACATGTAAAAAAAAAAAACTCTTCATGAATGCAACTGCTATCTTAATTATTAAAAAAATTTCCAACCACAATGTTTGAATATTTTTCACAGGAATGTTTCCTTTCCTACAAACAGAGCAATGCAAGTATTACGTAACAAAACAAAAAGAAAAATAAGGTGATGAATTACTTAAATAGCTTAACCACAAAACCTGGAATGGCTTGTTCAAATTTAGAAAGATGTCATGTGAAATTATCATGATCCTCCTGGCAAAAGATCCATCTAATGACCACCGGTCCTAAGAGGGGGTTTAATGGGCATTATTCTGAGCCTATGACTCTGAAGTTATAAACTACATTCATCATTTTGAAGCAATATGGCACCAAAAAGCTTTGGTTGCTTGTTCTTACAGAGATGATCCTACCAGTGGAAAACATTCATATGATCTGACACTTTTATCTAACTCTATTGTTATATTGTAATATGTGATTTGCTAATCTGACCATAAATAGGGTCATTTTCCTCTGAGAAACTGACCAGTTTCTCAGATTTCCTTCTGCTTTCCATTCTCACTTTAATGGTAAAACGCACCAACGTTTCAGGCCAAAATTCTAAACCAGGAAAACCCGGAGCTCTTTATGTTAGGACTATAAGGAAAGTACAAGTTTAAAAAGAGGTGACTTGTTCAATTGTAATATGTGGATGGTGCAGGTTTGCTGCCAGATGTTTTTGCACCGGAGGCTGATAAACAGCTGGAGTTGTGTTGTCCTGGCACATAAAATCAATAAGTACATTGTTCTAAAAACAACAAACTTCAAACCCTATCTTATGGTCAGCTGAGAGAGAACCTTGCACATTGTGCTTATTTGTGCAGTCAGTTTTGGCCAAAGGCGGTTTTCTGCCTCAGTCGGTCCAGTCGGTCCGGTCGGTTTGGATCTGGAGCTCTGATGCTGTTTTCTGAGCGAGGGCTGGGCAGCAGGCTGCAGAACTGGACGAGATATGTGATAAAAAGTCGCCCGGTGGAGGCTTCCGTCAGAGATAACTGTCCTGCTGCCACAATGTTGCCGACCCACTGATCCACAATGACCTCCTTTGTCTCTCCTTTGTCTGCGATTGTGGCAAAAAAAAGCACAAATGTGAGGTTCTCAAAAGGTAAAGTCCAGTCTTCTCTGCTCCCACTGGGCTGCTGACCATTTTCTGAAAAACCCTACAAATATCTATCTATCTATCTATCTATCTATCTATCTATCTATCTATCTATCTATCATCTAGTTAGTTAGTTAGTTAGTTAGTTAGTTAGTTAGTTAGTTAGTTAGTTAGTTGATTGATTGGTTCGTTGGTTGAGTGATTGAATATTTATTGGTTGGTTGATTGATTAGTTGTATGGTTGGTTGGTTAATTGGTTTATTTATTGGTTGATGGATTGATTGATTGATAGATTGATTGATTGATTGATTGGTTGATTACTTGATTGGTTGGTTGATTGATCGATTGATTGGTTGGTTGGTTGGTTGGTTGATTTTGTGTCCGTATACAATTTTCCACAGCACTCAAAGTTGTTTGGTTTGTAGGAATTCTTCATTAATCTTTCTGCTTCACTAAAATATTGATGTAGCAGAAGAAATGCTCAGATGTTTAAATATAGATGTTGATTGTCATTAAAATTGTTTTAAGTTATAGAATTAGACACAAAAATAGTAAGAGATTTGTAGATTTTCCTTTTTGTTTTTCTTCTTACTTTAAATCTCAAAATCATCAATTTGTATCAAATTTTCATGAAGGTACCTTGACTTTTCTAAACAATATAGAAATAATTAATATTGCCACTGAAAAATTCTGAACACTTTTTAACAGTGTGGAAGATAAATTACATAAAAAATACTTATATAACTATTTTCAAACTACCTCAGACATACGAGAACTACTACAAACACAAACTAAGTCGAATCTGCCGTATCTGAAAAAGGTCATGAACTGCTAACGGTGAGCTTTTCTCGGTCTGTGGGGGATGAAGTTTTCTCTCCACACAAACTATCGGAAAGCAAACTCTTTCCTCTTGTGTATTACACTTCATATCCCATAATTCACCGCGCGTCGCGACTAAAGGGACGCAGTAGCTCACGCGGACTGTCTCTGGGAGTGCTGAGTCGAATATCCTCTCTGGCGTCCGGACCGACTCAAACCGGCAGCTGTATTTCTCCTGGAACGGAAAACCACCATCACAATTCGAAGTGGAACGCCTCTAATAACCGAAAGGGGTGAGCGTAACGTTGGGCTTCGGGTGGACCTGCACGTGGACCGAGAACTGCGTAGCTCAAATCTTATTCAGTGAAAATCCAAGACCCACGATGGACCCGAGAGACACTGCCCCTGATTCCTGGGAACAAGAGGACGATGTGGAGGCCACAATCGACCCAGGGCTTGATTCAGCCTTTAAGAGCCTAAACGTGAACGCTAAACCGTTTGTGCCCAATATAAACGCGGCCGAGTTTGTTCCTGCCTTTGCCGTGATAGCACACCCGGGAGATCTCGATTCCGCTGGTGAGTTCTCAGTCACGTTGGGGAGCTACGTAAGCTAGCAGCTAATGGCAACCCGGGTATTGTAGCTAGTAGCCTCCTAGCTACTGTACAGACACGCGTTTCTCATAGCGCGATAAACCAGCTAGCAACTGTGCCGACAAAGGAGTTGCTGTTGTTTTTTTGTTCTCTCTGTCGCACACATGGCGCCACGTAACTTTGCCTGGTGGTTTTATTGCTTCTAAAGCGGTAGCATAACTTTAAGAAATAGCCATTAACACAACCGGCATTAGCCTGTTTCGCCCAACGGGCGGTTAGTGGCTAGCATGGTTCGTAGCTTGTGCGGTTTCTCTACGGAGCGCCAGTCTGCCTCGCGTCGTTACAGAGTAAGAACTTACTCAAAACTCGTATTTGGCCCAAAAATGTACCCTACCGGTGTACTTCCTTGCTGTCATTTTGTGATACCAAAACTGTGACACTTCACAGGGACTTCGAACGGAGCCAGTTAACGCTTGCTGCTAGTCGTGTGACGTGGATGTTCTGGCTCACTGCCGTTAAAGACTAGGGCAAAAGTTACCGAAGTTCAGATAACACCTGCACGAGGCTCAGTGGAAACAAAACAAAGCAGTTTGCCTTTTAAATCATAGTATTATAGAATCTTTCCTGTGACCTACACACGTCGAGGTTCTCCCCCTCGTTTAGCGTTTACCCTGCATGTCGTGGTTTCAGTCTCCTGTAACGGTTGGATATTTAGCTTTATTTTATTTATCTTTAGCTACCGTTACACGCGGGTAACCTAACCAATTGACCCCCGGGTTGTTTTTCTTTCAGCTGCCGGTGAAAAAGTATCCAACATGGAGGTGTCACAGAGCAGTGGTATGTACCAAAGTGTGTGTTCCACTGCGTGTCAGTGCGCTTGAAAAGGTGACTTCCGGTATTGTGTTAGGTCTGTGAAATCCTGAGGTGGAATATGTGTGAAACCTGGACCAGTGTGGAAAAGGCAGCCGGTGCTGGCACAGACATCTCTGGAAGCGTTGTCTGTGTCGTGGTTCTTTTATGGAGATGGACAGGAAACTGGTTTGTGGAGGGATCGGCTCTGAATTGACCCTCTGAGTTTGGGTTAATATTCGAAAAGGGGGAGGATGACATCAACTGGAGATCAATATAGATGAATCAGAAGGTTCTCTGTGGCATAGCGCTCCGTAAAAAGTCCCCATTTTGGTCAGGGATGTGCACCGGCTGGGTTTAGCAGAGTTTTGGGTCTTTTGGTTCCCAGGTTGAGCCAAACAAAACCAGGTGAACTCACTATGGACGGTACCCAATGAATGGCTTTTTGAATCAATAAATCCCCCCACAACGGGGGCCCAGACCTACCAATTGGACATTTAAACCCCATTGAGAGTCTTTGTGGTCTGTCGGAGAAGATTTAACTCGCATCACCCCATAATGGGTTCATGATGTCGCCCGATACAAACCTTAAAAGTAACAAGCTGACCAAGGCCAGGAAAGATCACATGACTGAGTTGATTAAACATCTGTGATTGCAAGCATTAACCATCCAGACTTGTGTTTTTATACCACTGTGCTGTATCCATCCCACATCCTGACATCCCAACAGATACTATAATCTGCATGTTTCCGGTTACATGGGCTTAATAAGCTTAAGCAGCCTTTAAATGTGCCATTTGAATCATTTTTTCGTAAAGCATAAAACTTTGAGTAAATCTTTAAGTTTTAAATTGCCGACAAAGTCGGAGGGAAGACGCTGCACAGTTTGGAAGTGAGAAGTAAACTCCAAATGTGTTCATTAACACTCATTTGAGCCTTCGTCTCCTCTACAGTTTGTGAACATTTTTCATTTGTGCTCTCATTGTGTAGGTATTTTCCATATCATGCGACTTAAAGCTTTTTGCAAACCAAAATGAACTCAATACATTTAGCATTCCTAAAGACCCCAGAGCACTAATACAGTTTTCAAATCTAACCTGATGCTTTTAGAAGCCTCTAGACTTCAAGCTTATGTACTGGTTTAATGTTAATTTTATCTGTTTTTACCAGTCCAGAATGCCTTCCTCTGCTACTTTAGTTAGTTTCTAGCTCTGGCTGGGCGAGTTCAGGTAGATGCAGAACTCCTGGAGGGGGGAGAAGTGGCTGTTGGGTGTTTGACCGCAACAGAACACCGATTGAGCAGCAGATTAGCCTCGGCCGGTATTTGTTTTGCCGCTTTCTTGCTCGGTCAGCCATTGGTCTGCTTCATTATCACTTTAAACACGCATGTCCTTTCTTCTGTGGGAGATAACTGAGCCGAACAGAAGCCACACAAACTCCAAACAAGCCAAAGGGGAATTGAATGGCTTTTACAAACTGCTTTTAGCTAGTTTTAACCTAAAATGATTATTAAAAAGGTGGAAGTTAAACACTGGGGGGGAAATATCTGTGAATTTGAAAGTTCTGCTTTTTTTCCCCACGGGTGAAAAGTTAAAGTTTTCCTTCCTTTTTTTCTATGATTTAAAAAAATGCTTTATTTGTTGTTAAAACCAATCAATGGAAACAATGTCTCTTGGTCACTTAAAAAAAAAAAAAACCCCAAAAAACATTTGTCATTTAAATCGCATGAAAAACATTGTTTTCAGATCATTAAATTGATTTAAAATAAAATAAAATGTATTTTTATTGATAATTTTTCATATTTAAAATTCAGCTAAATAGTTCTGTTCTCAGTGTCCAGCTATCATCATAGTCTGCGTTTAACTTTTTTTTCCTTAGCTTTCCCACCCTCCTAACTGACTGTTATAGTTCACTGTGAACATGGTCATCGCTGACCAGAGCGTTCTGGTGCCTAACCACTGGTCTGTGACCTCGTAGCTCCTTTGGAGAACGGCGACGCAGAGATGAGCACAGAGGAGCCGTGGGACCAAAAAGAGCCAGAGCCCAGCGAGGAGGAGCCGGGGGGCCGAGAGCCGGGGGAGGGGGCGCCGGAGGAGGAGGCGGCGCCGGAAACCATGATGGAGGAGGAGGAAGAAATCCCGCTGCCAAAGGTTCCACTGGTCCAGCCGGACGCCCCCAAGAAGGAACATATCAATGTGGTGTTCATTGGACATGTAGGTCAGTGCCAGCATGCATGCATTGCTGCCCAGACAGCAGGCTCCCTCTGACCAAAGGGACACAGTCAGACGCCATCAAATATTCAGATTTAAGTGGATATGGAATTAGTGCTTTTTTAAATTTGATTTGCTCTCTATCCCAAAACAAGTCAAATAAGTCCCTTTTTCTGTTAAATTCTTGCATTAAGGCAACGTCTGAGTTTCCTTTTATTAATAGTACAGAAGTTTCCTGAACTTGTTTTGTTTTACACAAAAGAAAAAAAATAAAACAAAGGCAGAAGCATGTTTATGTTGATAAAGTCTGATAAGTTAGGGGTTATTATAGGGGTTGAATTCCCCACCAAAGGCTCAACGAGCGGGTCAAGTTCGCTTCAAATTCTTTGCTCCTTGTGTTTCTTAGATGCTGGAAAGTCTACCATTGGAGGACAAATCATGTGAGTAACCCCAGCCGTCCTGTCAGCGACGGGCGGCGGCTTCAGCTCTAACCTCTCCGCTGTCCTCCAGGTATCTAACGGGCATGGTAGACAAAAGGACCCTAGAGAAATACGAAAGAGAAGCAAAGGAGAAGAACAGAGAAACCTGGTAGGTGGCAGCTCACCCCCGCTTTTGGTTTGCAGTTTTTTATGTTGACCTCAGAAAATCCCACCAACCCCCACCCTACGCTGGCCCTCAGGTATCTGTCCTGGGCGCTGGACACCAACCAGGAGGAGCGAGACAAAGGCAAGACGGTGGAGGTGGGCCGGGCGTACTTCGAGACGGACAAGAAGCACTTTACCATCCTGGACGCTCCGGGCCACAAAAGCTTCGTGCCCAACATGATCGGAGGAGCCTCGCAAGCAGACCTGGCTGTGCTGGTGAGCCAACGAAGCTAAACCGGCCCCTTTTCACTCCTCTTTCATAGCTGCTAAGTAGGTTGAGGAGAGGATGCTACAGCTAACATGGTTACACCGTTGTTTTAAGTAATGGCAGTCCAATTTGACTTCTCAGACATTCTCAGGATTAGGTAAAAATTCGGTCATTTGTTTCCAATTGCAAAAAAATGGACCAGGAGGTTTAGTAGAGTTGAGTGAAACCAATAGACCCAACAGGTATGATCAGTGCTCCTACTGGTTGTGAGGTCGTTCCAGACAGCGCCCTATAGGAAAACTCAAACGCCAGCCAATACCAGAAAGACGTAAAAGAAGACTTAAAAATAAATAGATTAAATATATTTAATTACTCCCAAAAGGGCCAAATGCACAAGCAGCTCAAATGCAGCCCGCGGCCTAAAGTTACCCGATCACCGTAGCAACCCACTGACCCGCCCCGCCGAGTCCCCCACAAATGTAAGACCAGACCCCTAAACACAGAAACCGAAGCATGCTGGAACAGTATGGGGGTGGTTCTCGTATCAGAGCCATCATGGATCAGTTTGATCCCTTCATAAAACGTAAGTCAGGCAGTCTTATGCCAGAGAGGAAAAGCCATTTAAGAATAAGTCTGTGGAGCGTCTCGGTTCCCGACCAACCAGATTTCTGCACCGTAACCCATTTGAACCTCTGGGAGGCGACGCTGAGGAGGATCAGAGTTCAGTCACATCGTAGGTTTTGGAAGTCCATCAGGCACAGAAAGCTAACAGATAAACACCTCTTCACATGAGATAAGTTACCATTCAGAGCAATCATCAGCGTGGAGCAGTTTTAATGGATACTATTCCAAAATCGTGAACTGTTTTGCTACCTTGAAATTGATATTATCAGTTATGCACAACAGCCTCCAGGGTGTCACCGTGACCTCCTACTGGTGTTCAGATTTGTAAAACCCTTTCTGAACGTCCCTCTACACTACCAGCACTATTGCCTCCAACAGAGTCTGCTGTTCTTCTGTTTAGCTTATGTCAGGTTGATGCTGGCTGTTGTGTATCTGCGAGAAAAGCTGCTAAATGAATGTAACATGAACAGAATCAGATCACTTCTGGAGTTTTACTGGCATCTTTTGACATTATGTAGTGTATGGAAGTCCAAATATGCCTCCCTTTCTATAACGTCCTATCCTTCCAAATGTTTTTGTTCTTTTTACCTAAAATACTTTTTTTTTTTTTTGTGGGGTGCTGCACTTAAACAAAGCTTGTATTGTTGTTAAAAAGTAGCATTAGTATTTTTGCTTGCATGTTTTTAGCGCCTGCTGACGTGGTCTCACACCCTACCCTCTGTGTGGTAATCTCCACAGGTCATCTCTGCCCGGAAAGGCGAGTTTGAAACCGGTTTTGAGAAGGGCGGCCAGACCCGGGAGCACGCCATGCTGGCCAAGACCGCCGGGGTCAAACACCTCATCGTCCTGGTCAACAAAATGGACGACCCCACAGTCAACTGGAGCCTGGAGAGGTGGGTCTGTAGGGAGCAGTGGCTGTTTGCTACGGGTGGAGACACACGGAGGGTTGTTTTTGTGTTCCCACATATTTAGGAGTCTCGGTAGAATTATCATTTTCCCAACCACTTAATTTGGGTGCCTTTGTATCATTTGAGAAGCTAGTCCTGTTTGACCAGGATGTTTGGTAAATTACCATTTGAATGCTTGAAACCTGCTTTCTATTCAAGAAATCAGGTTTATTACATTTTGTCCTCCATATTTGTAGTTTTTTAGTTCTATTTCTATAGTTATAGTATATACTATAGTTGTATTTATTATATAGTTATATATGTATTTTATAGTTTTATAATTTATATATATATATATATACATACACACACATATATATATATATATATATATATATATATACACATATATATACACATACATTTTTTTGTATGCTGAACTCATTTTGAACTTTTTTGTTTTTGTTAAAGAATTACTGTCAAACTTAGTTCAATTAGAAAGCTTGGTTGATATGTACATATTAAGAAGAATATATATTTTTTTAAATATTTAAATGTAGTATTTTTTGGCAGAACACTTCTTGCTTTTTTTTGGTATCTGCATTTTATGGTGTCATTGAGGCTCTTCTGATGCCAGTTTTGCCTAACCCCCGCAGATACGAGGAGTGTAAAGAGAAACTAGTGCCATTTCTGAAGAAGGTGGGCTTCAACCCGAAGAAAGACATCCACTTCATGCCGTGCTCGGGGCTGACGGGCGCCAACCTGAAGGAGCCCACCGACATGTGCCCCTGGTACACGTAGGTATCTGCCCCCCCCCCCCCCCACGCTCCCAGCTCCCAGAGAAAAGACTAACACTTGTGTTTCTCCTCATAGAGGCCTACCGTTCATTCCACACTTGGACAGTTTGCCACTCTTCAACAGATCCAGCGACGGCCCCGTCAGGTTGCCCATCGTAGACAAATACAAGGTACGGGGATTTTCTGGTCTGTTCTAGCCGTATTTAAATTATATTTAAGGAGGGATAAAAGTAGTGTTGATAATGAGAAGGGGCTCCCATCTGTATTCATCTGAGCAGAAGCTTCAATTAAAAAAATAAATTAATAAAAATAAATATATTAATGAAAGATGATATATATAATACATAAAAATAAGATAAATAGTATAAATATAAAGACAAAAAATAAAAACAGGAACGTTGTTTACATTTATGTGAGAATCCTAAAAATTGTTCATAATAAATAGTTTATAATAATATAATAAATGGGAGGCTCATTTCTTGATTTGTCTCAGCATTTATGTCCTGAGCTCTGTCACCATCAACTCGTTTTTTTTGTTTTGTTTTGTGTGCCAGTAATTTTTTTCCTGCTTTGTTGACGTCAGACAAAATGAAAGTGTCAACCCCCCATTTTTGTGTTTATTGCTCTTGCTCCATGATGTTGTCATTTTGTTTCTTTTTTTAAAACTTTCATTTATTAGATTCAGTACCAGTAGTGAAATGAACATCCAGCCCAAGTTATCTCACAACAAAAATGACCAGACTTCAAATTAAAACATCTGACTTTGATTTAAAATGAGGAATAAGGGACTACGAGCTAAACCCCGTCACTTTCTTTTGTATATTAAGGTCTCTCTCTCTCCCTCTCTCTTTCTCTGATCAGGACATGGGCACAGTGATTCTGGGCAAACTGGAGTCGGGCTCCATCAGTAAAGCACAGCAGCTTGTCATGATGCCAAACAGGGTAAGATGTCCCATAAATATTTTTTTTCTTTTGCTCACTTTAACCAAAATCCAAATTTTCCACTCACCGGTTTGGTACAAGAGAAACCACCACCACGGGTTTCCTGACCCGTCTGTGCCTCTTCCCGCCCGCCGGGGGGGCAGTGGTCGTGGCTGTGGCCCGCTCTTATTTTGAAGCGTTGCTCCTGGTTTTGAAGTGCCCCCCCCCCCCTGTCGTGCAGCACGTGGTGGAGGTGCTGAGCCTGCTGTCGGACGACGTGGAGACGGACGATGCCGGGCCCGGGGAGAACCTGAAGCTGCGGCTGAAGGGCATCGAGGAGGAGGAGATCCTGCCCGGCTTCATCCTGTGCACCGCCGAGAGCCTCTGCCACTCGGGACGCACCTTCGACGCCCAGGTGGGGGCTCACGCAAAGAGCTTTAGAAGCCCACCCAGGGTTGTGTGTTTCTCTACAAAGGGAAGCTGCTGAATGAGCTTTATTTCCCTGCACTTTCTCTTGGTTCAGCTTTACTGTCTCTGTTGGGAGAAGAGTTTTAATGGTCTCCCCGTCTCTCCCGCAGATCGTCATCATAGAACACAAGTCCATCATCTGTCCAGGTTACAACGCAGTCCTCCACATCCACACCTGCATCGAGGAAGTGCAGATCACAGTGAGGCTTTTTTTTATTTTTACAGACGACTCAGGGGAGAAAAAAGACCGTTTTTTTCTCAAACGCTGGACTTGTGCTCTTCCTCAGGCCTTAATCTGCCTGGTAGACAAGAAGACGGGGGACAAGAGCAAGACGCGGCCCCGCTTCGTCAAGCAGGACCAGGTCTGCATCGCCCGCCTGCGCACGGCCGGGACCATCTGCCTGGAGACCTTCAAAGAGTTCCCTCAGATGGGACGGTTCACCTTACGAGACGAAGGGGGGGGTGGGGGGGGGGGGGGGGGGGGGGGGGGGGGAATAAAAAACATTTCAAATGATGGGACGTAAAGGAAAAAGACTTGAAACTGTGGTGAATCCTTAAAAAAACTGATGCCTTTTACTCATAGGCATATTTAAATTGCATAAAAAAGAATCATAATTCTTTAGTTTTTGAGAATATTCATGATTTAGGAAAAGATGCCACAAGAAGTAAAAAATTAAATGCCATTTAGTGCAAGTCGCGCTTTCATTCTAACGTTTATTTTCAAAGATTTTTAAAAAAAATTAGCTGAGATCCTAATCTTTTTCCTGCTGTGTTTCAGGTAAGACCATCGCCATCGGCAAGGTTCTGAAGCTGGTCGCTGAGCGGGACTGAGAGCGCCGATTGGTCCAGGAGGAGTGGGCGGGGCCAGACCACAGCCTGTGTCCGCCCCCCCCGCCCCCCTGCTGCGTGTCCAAGATCAGAAAAAAATCAACTAACGAAAAAGAAAACCTGTTTTTAAACAAAAAGACAAAGATGATGTCCACAGGAGTCAGCTTTCTCATATTGAGAGCTCTGTTATGCCATTCTGGGTTAAGCGCCCCCCCTCCACCTCTCCCATTCCTCTGCCTATTCCATGATTTTTATTTTTATTCTTTTTTTTTTTCATTCCTTTCCTCGGTTTTTATTTTATTTTTCTCGCTTTGAAAAGTGACGCTGACAAAAGGGCAGAAGTCACATTCTCCATTCAAATGTGGACCAGGATTTTCACTCGGGAGTTCCAAGAAAAAAAGAATTCCGACTTTACTCACGAATGAAAGTAGTTTTTTTTTTTTGTTTTTTTTTTTTTTTCGGGTTTTTCTCGTGTGGCGTTCTGGCTGCGTGCTTGAGCGTGTTCAGATGTTATTAAAGCAAACAACTATGACAATAAATAATAAATTGGGGAAACCAAAGTGTCTTTATTGCTGGAGCGCCTTTTTGCAGAGCCTGAATCCTCCTCAGGTAGCCATTCTGAAATGGATTTAGCTGTTTTAATTTTTTATGGTTATAAAGTGGAAACGACATCAAATCCCCTGATCTGCAAACTGGCAGGATGAAAATGCAGGTTTTTAGTTGGTTAAGCTAGTTGTTTTCTCATCAGTTTGCTTTTTAATTAACTTTTTTATTGACGAAAACAAAACAAATGTGTCCCGGGCAGGTGATTTGGATCAAGAAATACTTTCCCTGATCATTTAACATGAAATGAAATTGACTGAGCAATTTTTTTTTTTTCCCCCCCGTACTCTAAATGAGGCCTGGGTTTCCTGATGCGACACAAATCCATAATGCACTTTGACCTGAGAATCCAAGGGGTTTTCTTGGATTTATTTCTTATTTTTCCTGTTCACTCTTCAGGGGCTTAAAAATTATTTCCCTTCACTCTGATCCAACACCGGACCCAATCTGTGTATAAACTGTTAAAGCGTTTTTATTTCCATCTGTGAGTGGCTGCCTTCATTTGGCCGTGTCTGTTTATGATGTCCAAAGTGTGAGCCCAGAAATTTCAGGGGACACTACAAAAATTTAGTCCAAAGTAAATAATATTCTAGTATAGTATGATATTTTGAATTTTAAGAATTCATGCTTGTTTGAGTTTCCTTTTCCACTTTAAAAAAAATAAAATATTTATTTTTAGTTCTCTTAAAATCACCAAACCCGTCCTAAACTATATTAAACTACCCTAAAGGCTCCTTTGCAGGTGTTTGTGGGAAGTGAAAAATTCTTCTCACTCAGTGCCCCCCTAGTAAAGGATAGTGGAATAATATTATTCGTAATAATGTCAGTAAATCGTTAACTAAGAAAAGATGAAACCACACAGAACATACAGAAGAACGCGCCTCCCCGGCCAGGTGCTCGCGCGCCTCCCCCGGGCCGCGGCACGCCCCTCCTCCGACAGGTGTGCCTCCGCCTCCGCGCCGCCTCACCTGGCTCACCTTCCAGCCTCAGGAAGTTAGAACCGACCCGAGCGGGGGCCAGCCATGGAGCCCGCAGAGCCCCGGGAGCCCGGCGTGCCCAGGGGCCTGGGCCGGTGCGCGAGCTGCTTCTGGCTCGCGGTGGTCTTTGACGTCTTGGGGCTGAGCGTGCTCCTCCTCGGCGTGTTCGCCAACGTCTTTTTCTACGACCTGCTCATCTACGCGGGCGCCATCGTCATCTTCCTGAGCCTCATCTGGTGGGTGTTCTGGTACTCCGGGAACATCGAGGTGCCGCCGGCGGAGCTGGAGGATGATGTCGGGCTGCTGAAGAAGAAGGCGGCCGGCTTGTCGGGCTTCGGCGGCGCCGTGCGGCAGCTCTCCCGGCGAGTGTCCGGCGGCATCCGAAACTCCCTCCGGAGGAGCGGCGCGAGCTCCGACGGCCGCCAGGGTCGCGCGCGGAGGTCAGGGCCCGTGCAGCAGGTGTCCTCGCGGTCGGGGCAGGTGGCGGTTTCCATGGCAACGATTTCCCGGCAGGAGAACACCCCGAGGACGTCCGTCTCCCGAGGGGACGCCGCGGAGACTGTGCCCGCGTAGGAACCGGTGAGTCCCGCGTAAGAACCGGTGAGGCCCGCCTAGGGACCGGTGGGGCCCGCGTAGGAACCGGTGAGTTCCCGTGACCCGCGTAGGGGCCGGTGAAGCCCGCGTAAGAACAGGTGAACCCGCGTAGGAACCGGAGAGGCCCGTGACCCGCGTTGGGACCGGTGAGGCCCGCGTAGGGCCCGTGACGGTGAGGCCCGTGACCCGCAGCCTTATTATCCTTCAGAACTTGGTACTCTGATACTCCTCTTGAATATGTTTAATTTGTTAGGTCATTTTGGAAAAGTATAAAACTTGTTTTTCATGTTTTAGTTTATTTTGCCTGCTCATAATAAGGATGGCCATCAATAAATCAATAGGACCTTCATGTGTCCCAACAGAGCAATGAAAAAAAAAAGTCAATTAAACTTCATATTTCGGAGGCTTCTAAGATCTTGATTCAAAAGACCCTCCCCAGCAAAGTTTTAAAAAAAGTTTATAAGTTAAAAAAAACTAACACAGGCTTTGTTCTGAAGGTTCCCAACAAGTGTGTCACTTATTTAGCTTCCATGCTCCTCAGCTTACTCTTGTTTGTTTTATAGGACGTGAAATGCCTTAAATGCATTAACTTTTTCCTTTGATTCACTCTTACAAATGGGTTTTAGATAAGTGTGTCCAACTTTTCTCTCTCACCTGATGATTTTTAAATGAGGAACTGAGAGAACTTCCTGAAACTATATGGCAGTAAAATCCTCTTATCATCGGATAACCATTAACCAGTTGTGTGCTCTCGGAAAAAAACGGCTCCCAGTTGAATCAGCGATTGCAGCAAGCTTACATGAGACTTCCCTAATGAATCTGCCATCAGGACTGAGAAATATTTACTTAAAAACACACTTAGATAACTTTCCAGCTGGTGTCAATACTTAATCCGTCTTAATATTCTGTTGATTTTCCCCACAGGACTGGTCCTTTGCAGTTCCTGGGCTACAAACATCCATGACTGACTCCCACAAATGACATTTTCGTCCTTCTATTTTCCCAAAGTATGTTTTTTGAATGTATCGTTTACTTCGAAGTGATGAGAGCTACTCAAATATGGAACATTTCAAAATGAAAGTGAAAGAAACCGACAGCTTGTAAAGGTCTAAACCAGACCAAAGATCATGACTGATATTTGATTGTGAATTTTTGTATGAATTCCACAGGTTGTGAACATGTACCTATGCCTATGTGAATAATACTTTTACATTAAAGTTAAGATACAGATTTTTAAAATGTTCTGACTATAGTTTTTTTTAATGATTTAAACATTTTTGATGAGGACTGTTGTGTAATTTAACTTTCTTGTGATGTTTACACAGTTTTTATTATTTATCAAATGAAAAACATCTTGATCTCAATCAGCCTCCTTGATTTGAAACCTGTAAATGACACTTTTTGTCTCTTAACATGGATGAGAAATGATATCTATTTCATATGTAGTGATCTGAAGTGGATGACACCATAATAAATCATTGTCATGTGAGTTGGGGGGTCATGTTACATCCATTTAATTGGTTTGATTTAGAAAAACTTTGAAAACCAGTAACTGTTACAACAGATTTGTTTTAACTTAAGTGTCTTGTCAATCTATCAAGACTAACTCTTCATTTCATGAACTGAGGTCTCCACTGATAGTCCCTCTTTCCTGGACCTCTATACTGGACATTTTTCATTAGTTCACTCATTGAGTCACTAATATTTTTGATACAGGGGGGGTACGTGAGCCTAAAGGTGCCATTGCCCCATGATTTAATTCACATTCAAAGTGTCACATGGCTATTTGCATAGTGCAACATGCCTAATTGTCATCCAGATTGTGTGGATTTTCTTTGATTGCAGTTATGAACATTTGATTAAAACGTCATTGCTTATTTGAAAGTTGGAGGCACAAAGAAAGAAAACACGCACATGGGTGTGTTGTAACATGAAAGCAGGAGAAGCTGTTTATTAGTGTCCTTGTTCCCACCCAGGGTGATAACAACCATTAGTGTAACCTTCGGACCCAGCCGGCTTTACAACACTGCAACAGCAGCCAGATAGGAGTCAATTTGATGGTGGATTTTTTTTTTTTTTGCATTAGAACATATTTGCTTCCTACTTTTTAACATGGAATCTCTGTGTGTTTGGGTGTGTCTGTTTGCTGGAGGAGGGGATTTCCTCCATTAGGTCTCTTTTAACTAAATAACCTAACAAAGTCACCTACTAACTTAAGGTCCATTCTATTGTATCTTATTTAATTCAACTACACAGAAATACGATACTTTTACCTTGTAAAGTAAAGTAGAGGTGGATAAACAAAGGAGGGATTAAACAAATCAGACATATTCGTAACACAAACACATATTTTTGTGACAAAGATGTAGTTCTGTCAAAGAAATATTCAATGCAATGACTTAAATTGGTGAGTAGTTAAAATTTTGAAAGATAAAGCCCATTGAAAAGTGGTGTGGAATACTTTTAACTCTGGGTTACTAAATGATGATACACATTGGTTTAGTTTAGTTTTTTTAAATATTTTTTTTGATACAATGTGAGATATGACATCAGAGTAAATGTGAGTATGAATGTCCATTAATCTATTTCTCGTGCCTGATTCCTCCCATTTAGGTTTTTTAGGGGCCAAAATCTACCACAGACTCTGAAACTCTCAACAAGGCCAGCACAGTTACAAATAAGATGAACAATAACTCACACTCACTCCTAAAGTGTATGGAGATTCACTCTTTTGGATGATGAATTTGCTAAAAACTCACTCAGCTCAATGGACAATTTTCTTGTTTTTTAAACTAATCTTCTATTTCTTATGTTTTTGTTGACAAAAGACTAGACTTTGCAAAACTGATAGAAATGATCATTTAGACACCCCTATGTTCTAGATATATACCCGAGATCAAACCTTTTTTTAGTGAGACTTCAAATTCTTTAAGGTGCAACAACTAGAAACCTTTTGCATTAAATGTTACTCTGGCGTCTCACAGTGGTGACTTCAACACACAACACGAAACGTGAAACGAAATATTCCCATACACGTATCCAAAAATGTAATGAAATATTTAAGATTTCACCACCATCATATTTTGGTATTGGATCCGGTGGTGGTGAAACAACTAAATAACTCGCCTCTTGTATGTGCACGTGTAGTCAGAGAAATATGATGTGTGTTTATTGCGTTAAAATCACTTTTCAATCGTGTACACTTAATTAAAAAAAAAAAGTTCACATCACTATTAAGTCCGATTTGCAGCTATTCATTTTTTTAGTTTTGTTTTAGTTTGTGCAATTTGCGATGAAGCCTCTACTTTAACGTTTTTTTCAAGTTGTAAACGTATTAAGTTTATTTAATTATTTTGTTTTTGTATTGTTAAAAAAATTACTCGAAAATTGCGTGGTCACTGTTATGTAAAAGTAGAGCTTCTCGAAAGCTGCCTGTTAACCGGAACTTTATTTCAAAATATTTGTGGGAACATTTTGACTGTGACACAAGGAAGCACTTCCTCAAAACACGTTAGGTTCCCGTCTTCCCTCTTGTCCTAAAACAGAGCCGCTCCACGCGCTTGTCAGTGACAGGATAATATCAACTTCGTTTTCCTATAAAAATGTGAAACCTTTCCCAAAATGAAACGACATTTTCTCTGGGTTATTTTTGTGAGAATTTATCGTGTCAGGATGGAACCAACACGGACTCTCCAACATTGCGCGAACATTTAGCTTTAGGACAACTTTAAGCTAAAGCTCTACTGAAGGATTAAGCCTCCGTTTTCACCACGAACGATGGAAACCCACGGCCGGGACTTTTTGAACACTCCTCCCATGAAGATTGTGAGGTTTGGAGGCAGCGTGGCGGACACTTTAGAAAAGCACAGACAGGTGAGTGGATACTTCCTGTCCAGCTGACCTGAAACAGAGTTTATTTACATTTTCTGACAATGCCGCTATGCAAATACTCACCTAGCACCTCTCTTTTCTGTGTATAGCACTTATTAAAAAATGTTTTCAGTATTTTATCTGCACATTTAATTAAAAATGGCGATCGTTCAAAACACCGGACGCTAATGTTTACTGGAAATGTGAGCCATTGAAATATTATTGAAAGTAACCGGAAGTGTTTAGAATAAGTATCAATGGATACACTTTTTTTCAAATAAACGCATACCACAATTTTTAGAAATAGAATATCTGTCAGCCGTTATTTATTTTTCATAGTAACTTAAATCAAATTTAAAAGTCAGATCTGTCTATGAGGACACTATAATAGGACAGAAAATGTATTTATCCAAGTAACCACACTGTAATAAAACTGTATATTCTTAAAAAAAAAAGAATCTACAATCTGATAGATTGGCTTTTCCTTTTGTTTGTTTAAAGGGACTTTCCAGTGATTATGAGCTGCTGAGACACCAACTGGCTGATCCTGACATAAAGGTACAAGAGAATATCAGGGTATACAAGCTAGTCTGGGGTTTGTTTTTATGGAGTGGAGAAGTCATTAATCTGCTTGATTTCTCTCTTGATAGGATGCACAGATCATTAATTGGCTGCAGGAGTTTCGGAATTGTGTGAGCCAGCTGACCAAAGACCACGAGCAGCTCATTTACACAATCCTGGTGAGGGAATGGTGGCTTCCATGTTCTAATCTACTGGTGGTTGTTCCCTCTGATGTGTCCCGGGGCAGATGAATGATCAATTGCACAGAGATGCTGAAGCTCCTTCCTGTGTGTGTGTGTGTGTGTGTTTGCGTCTCAGAGGCTGCCCTGGGTGGGCCGGAGCCAGGCTGTGGTGGAGGAGTACATGGCATTCCTGGGGAACCTGGTATCGGCTCAGACCGTCTACCTGTGCGCCTGCCTCAAGATGGTGGTTTCCCACTTTACTCCCAGTATGTTTCCATCATTTTTTGAGGGGATTCAGCAGTCACATTTTTAGCATTAAACTCAAAAGCATTTTGCAACTCTGTTGTAACTTTCATCCGTTTTCAGAGAGAATCACCATCTGCGAAGGGGGAGTCGATTTTTCTGACTCAGACGATGAAGACGGTAAGAATCCCCCCATTTTTTATCGAGTTTAAATGCTTAATGAGGTCTGTGGGTCCAGTGTGACCAGAACAGCTTTCACAACTTTATCGTAACTGTGTGGGTTTTTTTCCCTCTATTTTAAGATCTCCCCAGGAACTTTGACCAGTGTCATCAAGCCCTGCAGCTCATCCTCAGATATGTTCCATCGTAAGTTAAGTTACACTGTTTTGCACAAAGGCTGAAAGCTAAGTAAAGACCAATCGAGCTGAGTAGATACGAATGGAAAAAGGCCCATAAAATGAGTTTAGCCAGTCCTGTCTTACGACTGCACGGTTGACTGCAAGTCACAATTTCCAACAAATAACAAACCATTTGTTGGACTTTTGAATCAGATACATTCAGTGTGTACCCACACATTGTTCGCTAGAGTAAGCACCTTGTTTAATTTAGCCTCTTTTAGAATGATTTAATTTTTTTTTAGGAATATATTGGACCAAAAGAATGAACTCTCCTTTCTTGAACTATCCTTTCAGCAGTAGTCATATTTGTTAAAGCACCTTCAAGGCTTTTAATTGAACATAATTTACATAATTGATTAATAGATTAACAATACAACTTTGCAGCATGGCAGTTAACACAACTTCTGTTGGATTATGTGCAGAAACAATGTTATATCTTGGAAAAACTTTATTATTTTCCCATGCCAGTGGTGCCTTTTGGCTTTTGAACTTCCTCTGATAAGTCTGCTGACGTCTCCTTTTACTCCTCAAATAGGCTTCAGATGTCTTAATAAAAAAAATAAAAATAAATCCTGATAGATATTTCCAACAGCTCTGCTTTTTTTATTATGTTTTATTTTGTTTTGTCGTCTTTTTTTATTTGAATCCAAGAAGTTGGAATAAAGAGTGAGAAATAAGTAATTAGTAAATTGATAAAACTGAGTGGTATGTATACTTGTTAATTTCATTTGATTCCTTTATGTATTTTGATATGTCAATAGAAGTGCTAACTTTCTGCACACTAAAGCCACATTTTAACACAGAAGCATGCAAAATACCTTAAGGCCCTTTTTTTTAAGAACGATTGATCAATTAAAAAGAAAAAAAAATGGAATTACCTTGTACTGTTTTTGTTTTTTAATTTGGATTCTGTTACTTCAATCTTAGATTGGATTGTGCAGACATGGCCGTTGTCACCTCTGAAATTCTTAATTTATTCAGTCATTTACTTATATTCAGTGTTTTTATCTCATACTGCATTACAATGTTTTTTCCAAATATAATGAATTTCTCCTTGTGGGATTGATAAAGCATTGTGATTTTAATTGAATCATATTGCAATTTTAGGAATTGATACAGTACCATTAAGCTGAATTATTGAACTGTATAATAAATAAAGGAATGTTCTCCTTTTTTTTGCAGTACAAGTCGCTTTCTCATGCCCATCTTGCAAGAAAACTTCCCCTTCGTACAGAAATCCTCCAGAACACTGGTAAGAGATTTACACCATGTCTGAGCAGAATCCAGGCCTATCTGAGGGGGGGTGCGTTTGTGGACATGCTGACGGTTTCACTATCGAAGTTTTCTGTCCTTTATTTGAAGGAGTGTTACGTCCACAACCTCCTGAGAGTGACCGTGTATATCCCATCCATCCGAAAAGACGTGCTGGAGGTGATCATCGGGAAGATGCTCAAACTGGATGTAAGCGATACGAGAATACAGGGATGCGAGAATACAGGGAAAGAATTGGGGGGGCGGGAGGCGCCGCTGATATTTTCATTGGCGGATTGTCAGAATGCAGAGCCAATGATGGTGTGTCCAGTGCGCCTGGGCACTTGATCCATACCAGAGCGTAACGCTCTTGCTTGTTGTCACACTGGGGATGCAGCCCATCGATTTGGGAAACGGGCCACTGCTTCTGGTCCCACCGGGGGGGCCTCACATCTCTGAAAACAACGCAAGAAAATTTAAAAAAGGGCGTCATTTGGATAAAGTAATAGCTTAATAAGGATCTAAATAGGAACTATTGTCACAATAAAATATCTAAAAACTAAAGAAAGAGATGTATTAACAGTGCTAAAGAGAGAATTAAAACAGCTTTTAGCAACTTTACCGCTGCCGATTGCCACGAAATGCATTCTGGGAAATTTCTGTCATCCCTTACGGTTCATCTGTGCCGGCTTTATTGCCGAAGTGAAATGTGACGCTAAAAAGAAAATGCACAAAATCATGAATGTTACGCTTCAACAGATGGATAAACCATAAAACAAACACGCTCCATCCGTGCATCATACAAACCAAACCGAGCACAGCAAACGGAAGTAATAATCTAATGGAAATACATGAGAAACATGTCACTAATAAGCACACAACGTAATACTTAAAACCACTTAAAACCTCAACATATGACTGTAAACTCGAATGTAAACACACACACGGACGAAGCAACTCAAAGAAGATATGGAGCTTTTCCCCACTTATAGTTTTATTCAACGCGACAAACTGACAGCGTTGTATATTTAAATAACATTCCTATTTGAATGAAACATCATGAAATAAATGAACTCATACACATCAGCCTTTCTCTTTTTTTCTTACTGACACTGTGAACCTTGTGCACTAAACTGAACAGTAAGCCTCTCTTCTCTGAGGCTTGTTTGCATCAAAATGTGCCGAATAATCTTGCACAGCTTTGAGATATTACACATCCAGATTGCAGATTTCACAAACAAAAGTCTTCACAATCAGCTTTTGAATTAATTAAAACACTTGCTCACATCTTGTGGTTCCATTGGTCCACACAGGACACACGGTGCGTCCAGCCAGTGGCTAGCGAGGCGTGCTAACCCTGGTCTGTGTGTGTGTGTGTGTGTTTTTAGGTGAGCGCGTCCCGGGCCGACATCGAGGAGGCTGAGGAGAACGCCGGCCAGAGCCAGGCGGCCGCGGACGGGCCGGAGGAGGGCCTCTTTCACATGGTAACAGCTGGACGCTCGTCCTGGGAGCTGGTTGTTAGCGGAGCCGAACTTAAGCCATCCCTGTGTGTGTGTGTGTGTGTGTGTGTGTGTTCCCGTTCCCACCAGGACGAGGACGTGCTGGGGGATCCCCCCCCCGGGAGCGATGCGATGGCCCACCCGGTGGCTGAGAGGCTGGACGCCCTCATGGACGTCCTCATGGCTTACATCAGGGACATCTGCCACACCAACGGTGAACCAATCATCCAGCCTCATCCTCAGCCCTGCATATTCATCCAGTTTACAATGAGTAGGACCACAGAAAGGACACCAAGACTTCTTTTTTGTCCTGGTTTAAGAACGTTTTAAAGCGTCTGGGCTGGTGGGATGGAAACATGTCAACACCGGCAGCCTAGTCACTTTAACTTGCTCTCATCCTTGGAAATTAAACTTCCGGATGGATAGATGGATGGCTAGATAGATTTATTTACCCCCTGTAGGGAAATTAGGTTGTCATAGCTGTCCGGTAAAAGAACACAAGAAAGTACAATAGAATAAAACACTGGGGTAGAAAAAAACACAACAATAAGATAAAAACACAGAATAGGACAAGTACATAAAAAAAAAATAATAATAAAGAATAAGGTAGATTAGGTGCAGTGGTCTGATGATGGTGGAAGTGCTGATGATATGATAGTAATATATATGGTACTAATAACAGTACAGCATGTATGGTATATAATCTAATGATGTAGACCATAGAGTATAATATAGAATAACAAATATTAATAGTATATATCACACTATATGGTAATAACAGTAGCTGTAGAAATATATACGTACATAGAAATGTGTGATATGTGCATTAGTACACATATATACAGGTTTATATATGTATGTATGCATGTATACACACAAAGATCCACTCATTTATTTAGGCTTTGCTGCCATGCATGACTTCCTGTTTCACCCTGTCCTTCAGGCTGCTTTAATGCGGAAACGACAAAGGAGCTGTACAGAGATTTATTGAGCGTCTTCGACAAACTCATCCTGCCCACGCACGCTTCCTCACACGTCCAGTACACGCTCTTCTACCTCTGCAGCTTCAGACTGGTCAGTACCATCGCTACACTGGCCCCCGCTTCCATCACATTTTTTCCTTTTCCAAAAGATAACCTTTGATCGATATATTAGTTGTTTTTTTTACGCAGTGGCCAGAAATTATTCAGTTTTATTCACCTAATAAGTTTAATACATAGACTTTGTCATGGTACAGCTGTTTTTTCTTCAGTAGTTTAAATGTTTTTATTTAAAATGTGTATTTATGTATTTGGTTTATTCAGAAATTGGGTTCTGGAGGTCTAAATGTCTTAACTACAACATTTTAATTACACAATAAGGACAGGATTGGTTAAAAATGTCTAAAACTATTAAAGTTTTGGATAAAAGATTTGTGTCTGATAGTGTCTGCTATGTGGCCAGGAGGTCAAAGGTCAAAGGAAAAAAGAATCATGGGAAAGAGAGGCAGAAATGCAACGTCCTTATATGAGGATGGTGGGACTCAGGAAGTTAAGATCTATGTTTTTTTTAATATTTTAAATGGTCGCTCAGACAGATTTGGCTATGCTTTATCGGGTTGGCCCGTCTAAACTGATTTTTTTAGCTATGAATATCAGCTTTTTGTGGAACGGGGAGCTTTCGGACTCTGAACCCGGCCCTGTTCCTCCCAGGCCCTGGCCGAGGCCTTCCTGGACCACCTGTGGAAGGTCCTGCAGAACCCCTCCCAGCCCGCCGTCCTGCGGCAGGCCGCCGCCGGGTACCTGGGCAGCTTCCTGGCCCGGGCCAACTTCCTCCCCCTGCTGTGAGTAGCCGCAGACACGTCCACTCAGCAAACACAGGACTACCTTCAGACTGACCCCCATGTGCCCCCCGTATCCCCCCAGCACGGTGCGGGCCTGCCTGGACCTGCTGGTCTCCTGGATCCACGGCTACATCGACCGGCAGGACGGCGGCGGGGGGGGGCGGGGGGGGCGGGGGGGGGCAGGGCGGCGTGCTGCGACACCAGCCTGCACGGGCCCTTCTACGCCGCCTGCCAGGCCGTCTTCTACACGCTGGTGTTCAGACACCGCGCCCTGCTGGACGCCAGCATGAAGAAAGGCCAGAAAAGCCTCCACACCCGCTACACGGAAAACAAAGTCCAGGGAAACGTCCGTTTATTTATTTGTTTTTGTTTTTGTTCTTTCAGGCTTGGAGTACATGCAGAGCCTGAATCTGGAGCGGATCGTGATGTGCCAGCTGAACCCCCTGAAAGTGTGCCTGTCCTCCGTCACCAGCCTGTTCGCAGCCATCACCAGGTGCGCTTTGTCCGGCTTAACTCATTGGCTGCCAAAGACGACTATAGACGTCAATTCAAATACAACCGTTGACTGCCAAAGACGTCTATAGACTTCTTTTATGTTTTTCAACGAGAGTGTCTGGGGGACGATCTGCTAAAGCTTGTCCGCAAATATCAGGCTTCTAGACAGAGTATGTAGTAACAAATTGAGCCTCTAGGGGGCAGTGCCTCTTTTGATGGGAGATGAGCATAGACTGTAGGCAAATAAGAAAAAGCTAACGTTTGCTATGAGAGAACATGTCACCGGTGAGACGCAAGTCCAGGAAGCTCACACTCAAACAGAGTTTGTGTCGCAGTAATGGCAGTAGTTCAGTTGGTGGGAAATGAAGGAGATCAACCCGGGCCAAAGGAGAGAGTAGGCCTAGCTCACGGCGTGTTTCACCACAGTTCAACTCCGCAGATAGTTCCGGGTCAGAGGAATTTAGCGATTTAGTGAGATGTTGTTTTTGCCGTTTTATAGAAGGATATAACTTTTAAGATGTTTGAGGTGTCACTAAAGCCAAAAATATAGCATCAAAGACTCTTCTCTGCTTGAACTGTATCTTTTCACAAAAAGCTTGTTTTCTCCATTTATTGGTCAAAAACTGGTGTTTTTGTTGAAACCAACCTATGTTCTACTGATGATTACTAAAGAACGGAATAAGGTAGAAACAAAATTTTTTTTCCTGATGAATGAAGAGAGTCTACTCTTTCTTTTGGTGTGTTCGGTGTTTACATAGTCATAGCACAAATTATTCTGTGGCTCTTGAAAAATCAGTCAAAATGCTAAAAGAAACTCTGGCAGTATGGGACTCTGTTCTGAAAATGTCTGGCAGTAAATGAGTTAATCATCCCGCTGGTTCCATTATTCAGCCTCCAAAAACTCTCATTCAGCTCTTCCTACTGATACTAACAGTCCTGAAGTTATGCTGTGAGGGTTTTAGATCCTGCGTTGTGTTGTAGGAAGTACCAGGTGGTGTTCTGCTACACCATCATAGAGCGGAACAGCCGGACCCTGCTGCCCGTGGTCCGCAGCTCGGCCGGAGGAGACGGGGTGGCCACCAACACCAACCCGCTGGACAGCTTCTTCCCCTTCGACCCCTACCTCCTCAAGAAGTAAGTCCAGCAAATATCAGGGGTTTTTGGTGATTTTTGTCTTTTTGATATTTTAATTGAATACTTTTGATTTAAGGGATTCAGCGCTTCTGCTTTTCTATAGAGGAAGAAACTGTCTTTTTCTATTTTTTTTTAAATCAGCAATCCTTTTTAATTTATTGAATATTAATAAAAGAAAAAAAAAGTTCTTTACATGTTGAGCCATACAGAAATCCGAACATAGGTACTACACTGGGTATTAGTGCAAGAACAAGCTGAAAATAGAACCGAAGGAAGAAAAAACTAAAACAGAAGAAAAAAACCAGGGGAAAAAAAAACCCCAAAAAAACATAAAACAGCAAAGCTGAAGTTAACTCAAAAACCCTGGCAATAATAAAAGTAACATTAATGACAGGTGTTTTATCTTTCCCTATCTTTATCTAAAAGAGTAGTAAATACCCCGAAGGATCAATGGGGGTGGGAAAAGAACCTCACAAAACTTTCTCTCCTTGGGTCTTAAGAGAGTGCTTGATCCAGTCTCAGGGGTCAAAGGTCCCCTTTTTTTAAATCACTACGATGGAGAGCAGCTCACACTAAAACACGATGTGGGTTATGTTTAAAGAAACCCAGCGCATGAGGACTGGAGGGCACTTCAAGCTCAAATCAAAACAGGCTTTTCGGAATCAAAGACACTTTTAATTAGCACAAAACGGTCAATAATAATGATCAAAGTGAATATTTTCTTTCCAGATGTGCCTCCTGTACAGGTCTGAGTGTGTGTTGTGTGTTTCCAGGTCTGGCCGCCGGGTGCAGCCCCTGTACCAGGTCTGGGAGGAGCTGGCAGACATCGAGCTGCCCCCCACCAGAACAGAGCCCCAGGTGGGTTTAAGGAGGGGGGGGGGAAAGGTCTGGAGCACAGAGTCCAAAGCTGCCTTCTGTCTGGAGTGTAAACGTAGCTGTCCTCATACACAGAAATGGTGGTTTTTACTCCATAACTAAGTTATGTTTGATTCCCCTCACATCTTTGTTTTGTTTTTGTTTAACTTGTTTTATATACCTATATATATACTTTAAAAAAAAATATATTTCCAGGAGCATTTCTGTTTCTTTTGCTTAGAAGATGGTAAATGCTATTAAAGTTGACACAGGGGCCTCTATCAGAGTAATCTCATGTTAAAAAATCATTTAACATCTAAATAGTTATCCAAAAAAAGGCAAAAAAGAGTTTATTTCTATGAATCAAGACTGTTGTGGTTCATTTCTTTCTTCCTTTGTTTTCTTTTCGCGTTAGGCTTCAAAGGAGGAGGAGGACGACTTCCTGTGTGGGGTCACTCCTCAGAACGAGGGCGTCCTGGGCCTGACCCCCAGCCCCTACGGCTCCAGCATCTGCAGCCCCCCCGGCCTGGGCTCCCCCCCCATCGCTCGCCCGCCGCCCTTCTAGATCCACATCAGCGTCATGGACTGTGTCTTTCTGACAAATCGGCCCGGTTTTAATCGGACCTTCTTCCTATAGGAGCTACATTTCTTATGCGGTTGGACTTTTGGACATTTACCTTCACAGGAACTCTTCTGGAAAGTTTTTTTTTTAATGTATTCTAAAGGTTATCCAAGCTCGTCTGATACATGGATGCTATCAGATGTTTATATGCGTGTGTATATATATATATATATATATATATATATATGTATATATATATATATGACAGACATTTTTTCCTTAGACTTCTCATACAGTTCATTTCAGTGAAAAGGCCTACAGGCTTGTAAATAAATGTCTAAATCAGTCTAAATCATTGGTTGGGGGCTCCCCAAAACTCCCGATAATCTCTCCCAAGTTACCATTCTCAGGTCTGTTTGAGTTTTAAATAAGCAGATCCTCCCTGTGTTCGGCCTTTTCCGTTTCTATTTCTGTTGTGCAGGAAATGCAGCTGAAATAAAACCGAGCTTCAAAGGTGGGTTGTGTTCTTTATGTGTCCCAAGTGGACTGTTGACCATTCAAAGTACTTTTTAACTCCGTTCACACATGGTTGTCTGCATATCTCAGAGGGCTGATATTTCTATATTCCTATATCCTGCATGGGTAGATAATGAGGACTTCAGTGTCTTCTTCTTATTTTTTATTAAGACACTATAGGCCTCCTAAATTATCACGATTTTATATTGCCGACTGGACAAAAAAGGCACTGATAAACAATTACAAGTATCACCTCTAATGCTGTACATCAAGCTGGGAGGTAATTATTCATAATATCTGGCCATGTTTGAGCCAAAGCTCCACGACTTAAATCTCTTCCTTTCATTTCACTTACAGTTATCTCAGTTTTGGACTCCTGTTTTAACAACAGTTTCATTCAATTTTTTAAAAGCGATCCCTGTGTCAGACATATTTCTGTAAATGAGCAGAATTAATTTGTTTATTCAATCTATTACATTTTCACAGTAACACAAAGAGACTTGTTCTCTCAGAAGATGTTCAGCAATTTAGGAATTGAAATAAAGATCCCGGTTCCATTCCCGGTGTACAGTTTGCATGTTCTCTATGCATTTCTGGCCCCTTTTGGGTTTTCCTCTCACGATTTAATCGATTATTTGTCAATTTTTTCGTCTCTAATGAACTGAGGACATCATCCAGGGTGTGGTCTGCCTCTTTCCCCTTGGCGGCTGGGATAGGCTCCGCCCTCTAAACTGGATAAAGTGGGTATAGAAAATAAATTCGATTTCACAACATTCCTTTTTTTTTATTTCAGCATTTATATTTAGAGAATGTGGAGACATTTCTGTACACTATTCTGTACACAGATTTAATGGTGGCCTTTAGCACTGGTTTCAAAACAGATGGAAGTTAGTGTTTTACAAAGATATAAAATCAATCTTTACCGGACAAACACTAAATTAACATAAATATAAAAAAGAAAGGGAAGGCTTAACGAGTTAGTATTCTTCGTGTTTTTCTCTTCTCAGTAACCCAGTAACAGAAAACACGGCTTTTGCTAAAAGTAGTCAGAATTTGACACCAGTTCCAGTCCAGATTTATTAGAAAACATAACAGAAAGAACATGAGGCCACACCACAGACGGCTGACCGGCTGGACCGGGCTGGACTGGGCTGACCCGGCTGGACTGGGCTGACCCGGCTGGACCGTGGGACACATCACAGTTTGGAACGCTTTTCTCCGCAGAAAATCAAGTCTATGACTAGCAAACAGCTGTAAACAGCTGGCGCCATGGCGACAGAAAAAGCCTCTCCTCGGGACGCAGGACACACCAGCGGTCAGCCAGCAGCTGGTGGAGAGCTCCTGACCTCCTCTGAGGCCCCGGACCTTTAAAACTGCCATTTATTCCCTTTTTTAATTTATTTTTTTATAAGGGTGGACCATGAGGAGAGTCACTGTGAGGAGAGTGGACAGTAGAGGTTGGATTCAGACATTTTTGCTCAAAGGTTCCGGAACAAATCAGCCGGGGTTCGGACGGACGCAGATGGCAGTGAATTAGGACACATCAGGGGACTCTCCACAGCTGAATGACCACTGTCCCGTCCCACTAGGGGACTGTCCAGTCCCACTAGGGGGACTCTCCGCAGCTGGAAGACCACTGTCCAGTTCCACTAGGACACTCTCCACAGCTGGATGACCACTGTCCAGTCCCACCAGGGGGACTCTCCACAGCTGTATGACCACTGTCCAGTCCCACTAGGGGACTCTCCACAGCTGGATGACCACTGTGCAGTCCCACTAGGGGGACTCTCAACAGCTGGATGACCACTGTCCAGTCCCACTAAGAGACTGTCCAGTCCCACTAGGGGGACTCTCCATAGCTGGATGACCACTGTCCCGTCCCACTAAGGGACTGTCCAGTCCCACTAGGGGGACTCTCCATAGCTGGATGACCACTGTCCAGTTCCACTAGGACACTCTCCACAGCTGGATGACCACTGTCCAGTCCCACTAGGGGGACTCTCCACAGCTGGATGACCACTGTCCAGTCCCACTAGGGGGACTCCACAGCTGGATGACCACTGTCCAGTCCCAATAGGGGGGCTCTACACAGCTGGATGACCACTGTCCCGTCCCACTAGGGGGACTCTCCACAGCTGGATGACCACTGTCCCATTCCCACTAGGGGGACTCCACAGCTGGATGACCACTGTCCCGTCCCACTAGGACACTCTCCACAGCTGGATGACCACTGTGCAGTCCCACTAGGAGGACTCTCCACAGCTGGATGACCACTGTCCAGTCCCCGTAGGGGGGCTCTACACAGCTGGATGACCACTGTCCAGTCCCACTAGCGGGACCTTTCACAGCTGGATGACCACTATCCAGTCCCATAGAGGTACTCCTCACAGCTGGATGACCACTGTCCCGTCCCACTAGGGGGACTCTCCACAGCTGGATGACCACTGTCCAGTCCCATTAGGGGGACTCTGCACAGCTGGATGACCACTGTCCCGTCCCACTAGGGGGACTCTCCACAGCTGGATGACCAGTGTCCTGTCCCACTAGGACACTCTCCACAGCTGGATGACCACTGTCCAGTCCCATTAGGGGGACTCTGCACAGCTGGAGGACCACTGTCCAGCCCCACTAGGGGGGCTCTACACAGCTGGATGACCACTGTCCCGTCCCACTAGGGGGACTCTCCACAGCTGGATGACCACTGTCCCATTCCCACTAGGGGGACT